CAACGGCGGGGAGCGTGTACAGCTTCTCCCACTGGGGAATGATCTCATCGCGCCACACACCGCGGGCCTCGATGAGTCGCTTCTCCTTGTTCAGCCGCGCCTTCTCTCGTTTTTCCAGTTCCTTTTTCTCCTTCTCCTCTGCAATGCCAAACCGTCGTATCAGCCGTGCTGTCATACGCGTGAATGTCGTGCGTGTGCGGTGGTGCGTTGTGCATATGCGTGTGCGTGTGCGTGTGTGCGGTGAGTAGAGTGGTACCTTTCTTCTTGAACCCTTTCACCATTTCGAGGTATTCTTTGGCGTGCCGCTTCTGAGCCTCCGTGTCCTTAGGCGGCAGGGTCCTGCACGCGCACCTCAACAATCAGCCCACAGAGAAGTGTTCGCGATGACACACGATCACGGCACGCACACGCGACACACAGCACACGGCACACGGCACAATACTGCACCACGCGTATGGAAGAGAGAAAGAACACTCGGGGGAGAGAGAGTGAGAGGTGGAGAAGGGTACATAGGACGAGTGGCAATGACGCGTTCGAGTGGAGTGTCGGTGGTGGAGGGCAAACTCAGCGCCGCCTTGAGGGACCCCAACAACCGCCTACCCCCACGTAAAGAAGGAGACCATACAAAGTGGAGAGAAGATGAAGGAGAAAGAGAGAGAGAGAGAGGATGGATAGATAGATAACACAAGTTTTTGTTCCACCCACATGCAACATTCCATTGGAGAGAGATAGGTGAGGTCTATAGATCTTCTATCTGAGAGAAGAGCAAAATTTATGTAGTGGCGAAAATCGGGAAGAGATAGACAGGGCAAAAGGGCGGAGGGGGGTACAGTACCTGCCATCCTTGTCATCCTCTTCAGGGACAAGCGGGGGAGCTGGGGTGGAGGAAGGGGTGGCAGCTTCGACCAAGCGTCGAGCCCAGGTGGTCCAGATCCCGCCCTCGTTCTTCGGCGACGTTGAAGTTGAGGAGCTGGAGCTCCAGCTCGCTGATTTTGATTTCATTTGGGGGGAGGGCGATGTGAAATTCCTCGCCAGGAGAATCAATCACTTCGCGAGTCCGACCTTCTTCTCCCTCCTCTCGAGTTACTCCTCTGGCAGCTCCCTCTTACTCTGGCGGGTTAGCCTTTCTCTCTGGCGGTTGGGGCGGCAGTGCGACAAGACGCAACCCAAGAGCCTTGTTTTCTCTTTCTTTTCTGGTGAATTCTCGCCTGTTATTTTTATTGTATTCCTTCACCAAGAAGCACAATGTACAAGGAGGAAGATTTGTTCACACCTCACCAATGAATTGTATCTATTCTGAATAGATGAAAACATCTTTGCATAACAGATATAATAGGTCAGTTTACTTGCAAGTATAAACAATGACCTCCCATTTCAAATGAGTGCAAGTTCAGGCAGATGATGTGGTACTGAAATCCATAAACCTCAAAGGGTTTTTCCAAAAAGTCAATCTGTCCCTGAAATGTCAACAATTTGTGGGCAATCAAGCTTTGGGTATTTGCTGTGGACAGGGTACAAAAAGCGCACTGTCTGCCTTGGCACATATTTTTCTATCTTCTTGGACCATCACAATGAAGAGGAAGCATGAGGAGCTGAGTGGGCCACTGGAGCCAGGGCATGCAACATCAGGAGCAACACAGGGAAGCTCTGTGCTTGTCACCCATCACATTACACAAATCAGCAATGGGATCTTCAACAGAGCCCCACACTCATCCCCATTTACAACTTTGAAAGTTATTTACTCACAATTTGTAGGAAGATTTGCAGGCACAACTTAGAGTATTGGGTGTTGATGTTGCTTGTGAGGGGGAGGTATCCATTCAGTCTGTGTGGCACAATGAGCAAGGAGGAGAAGTGGGCAAGAGAACAGCAAGAACAAAGCATTGATGACAGAGTACATCCATACACTCAACAACAACCATCACCTCTTCAGCTCTGGCCACACACAATTCAAATGGGCCAAGGCACTGGCTGCAGATCTGCTGATTGACAATGACATGTGCAAGCCATCTGGTGCCAGTAAAGTTTACACATATGTGAAGATGAAGTACAACAAAAAGGTGCGTGCTGCTGGCCTGGCTCCTCATAGCACCCAACCCACATCCCCAATCACCTTCTCCATGTCCCCCACCCCAAGCTGGCTCTCCTATCTAAAGTAGTTTATTGTGCTACTTTTGTTAATGCATGTACCTAGAGATTTGGCTTTGACTTGTGCTTAGCATCTTATGGTGGCACATCAGAGTGATGCTGGTGATGATTGCAGGTAGGGGAGGATGTTGTGATGTTCAGCTGTGTCTTTGACTTGGTGCTGATGGTGAGCAGCTTCATTCTTCTGCTCTGCTGTATGCCTCCACCTATCTGCTATATTATTTAGCATGTTCCTATTAACTGTCTCATCTTTCTCCTTTGCCTCTTCTTCCAGCTTGTTGTAGAGGGCCTTGTGAGATGACTGGTGGGTTGGGTGCTTCTTTGTTGCAGGCTTATGCCCCCTGGAGATGTGATGATTCAGGTATGCTCTTGCAATCTCCTCCTCCTGAGGCGTACTGCACTCTCACCTCTTTGCTCACTCCATCTCCTTCTCCTGTTCCATTGTCTTTGTTCTTTCTATCATCCTTGTTCTCCTGCACTGCGTGTGCATCATCATTCTCCTGCTCTGTGTTGTTGTTGTTTGTTCCTGCTGCTTCATCCTCTGCTTCATCCTTGCTCCCATCCTTTGCCACAGGGGCTAGTGTGGTAGGTTGATTGGCAGATGGGATGCCCAGGCCAAGAAGGAGTTGCATGGCGATGCTGTGCTTGCACAGCTTACCCCAATGCTGGTGGTATTGACAGGTACATGCCCTGTCTTCAACAATATGATGAAGCTTGAGAGGGTGAAGATCATGTTGCTCACCCTCACAATCTCCTCTTCCTGCAGGATGGCCCAGGCAGCCTTGATGCATTCAGCGAAGTTGGCACAGGTCACAGTGGGCATCACAACGTAGCTACCCACCAGCATCTGCTCATACTTCATCTCAAACACCTTCATCACATGCCACCACACATTGAGTGCCACCTGGATCAAATTAGCACACCATTGATGGAAGAAGTGGTACATGACCCACTTGAAGAGGGCCTCTGTTACATTGTTCATGTTATATATCCCCTCTCTCAATCCAGGTCGCCCAGCATCACGCCAGGCCAGCTCCCACCAATCACCAGTCCAGTTCTTCATGAACCATTCAAAGTAGCTCTTGGTGACATGATCACACAGATTCTCAACCCTGCCTGCCCAGTCTGCAGGTGCCAAACACTGGAGATCCTGTATGAGCTGCATGGTGTGGCCAGGCCACATTCTGCTCTTCTCATCTAGGTACAGCCCCAATCATTAATTTGTGTTCAAATTTAAAGGTTGCAATTTGGCTTCTGTTTCTTACCTCATAGATCATCCTGGCAGGCCTTCAAGATTCATGCACTCCAGATCTTCACAACATGGAATTGGCACAGTAGGTACAGGAAAAAGTCGAACTTTAGGTGCAACTCTTTGAATTTTCTGGTCTTTGTGATGTGGTAGCCAACAGAGTATAGGTACCTGACCTCCACTGATGAAGAGCAGCTTGGCAGATTGCCACTTACTCCAACTGAAGCATGGAAAGTCAGGGAGGGCTTGACATCAGGCTTGACAATTCATTGTTCAATTCCTGGAAGAGGATGAGAGAATGGATAGGTCATGTGAGAAGGAGTTTGGTACTTGTCCCCATCAAATTTGTTTTGCATGTATTTTGTTCATCTGACTTGGTGGCTTCTATCAGCTTGTCCTTACTGCCTACGCCTCCAGCACCAAGGTGTGAAGTATCCTTGACTACACTCCACTTCATGCTACTCCTGCTTCCATTCCAACTTCAGCTACCACATCAATGGAGCTTCTGTGCAACTGAACAAATCTGAGACCAACATCATCACAAGTGCTATTGACAGCATCATCATTCACTCCAACCCAACCAACATCACACCCTGGATTTCAGCAGCCTGGACTGTGGCACATCAACTCACCTCATCCAGTACCTCAACTTCTTCTCAACCTTCACCCCACTCCATCTCAACCTCCACAGCATCAGCTCCTAGCATCCCTGTGCATATATTCAACCATGCCCTTTTTTTTGTTGCATATGAGCATTTCTCAGCCAACTCAGTAATAACTTCAGGAGGAAATGGTTGTGGAGGGATGGTGTGAGATGATGATTCTTTTCAATGCTTCAACTTTGGTTCTGGTCTGTGGGTTGCTGTGTGTGCTGATTCAGATGAGGATACCCAGGACTTTTGGATTGGTAAGATCATCAGGTCCTTAGGCTGAGTGTCCCCTGGTGGAACTTCAGCAATAGTTGCTGGGCTGACCATGGCACTGAGGGAACTGTCCCAATTCAACTTCCACCCAAACTCTGGACCACCTGACACCCTCCAAGAAAGCTACAGATACCTGTAAAATAAACTTTCCTCTTTCCTCCAATGTACACTTCCTTGTAATCAACTTTGTGTCTCATGTACACCACTTTTTTATTTCATTTAAAAGTACCACTGTCACTTTTTAACAAGCATTGAAAAGAACCACTGTCACAAAAAACAAAATCAAAACAGAAGGAAAACAAAATGGACGAGCTGGTTGGGCTGATCTACGATGGGGCCTACTCGTGCCTCCACAATGGGGACGACGAGGAAGGCCAGCCATCCGTCGACTAACTCTGAACCAAAGCTGGTCATGTGTGTGGGAAAAATAACTGCTTGCCGTTCAGTTGCCTGTTCGTTGAGCTCTTCCGCTCGCGCCTTTCCCTTTCCAACCACCCACCCTTCACCACCCCCCACCACCGCTCACGACGGAGCGGAAGGAGGAGCGCACGTGGGCGCTCCACCCTGGGCCTCGAGCCGCCGCACCTCCCTCTCCGCCATCGCACACAGCCGCCCGCCGGCCAGCGCCTTGCGCACGATGGCCCGCGCCACCCGATGCAGACTGCCCTCGCCCAGCCACACCGCCTCCAGCTCGTCCGCCGCGCTCTCTTCTCCTCCTCCTTCCGTTGCTGCTGGTGGTGGTGGTGGTGGTGGTGGTGGTCTCGAGGCGCTGAACCGGTGCACCGAGAACGACTCGTGCTCCGACGCGCAGTCGTCGGCCTGGTAAGCGACCTTGAGGTGGTGCGGCGAGGACGACCGCGGATAGAAGGCCGCGTGCGACAGCAGCTTGGCCTCGTCGGTGTGCCGCTCGGCCAGCCGGAGCGCCACGGCCTGGGACTGGTAGTCGTCCGCCAGGTGCTGATCGCGCGCCTTGGCCAGCCACCGATGGAGAAAGCTGGCGTTGCGAGGCGCCACCACCACGCCCACGCCGGCCAGCTTGCGGTCGAGGCCGTCGCGGGCGAGCGA